GAAATGTTCATTAGTAGAGGCGTTCATAACCCGAGGTACCACTGTATATTTAGAATCATCCATATTATCTAGAACCCTGTAATGATGGAATCTCTATTTTTTGGGCAGACCCCAAGTGAATGGCCACCTATGCATATGTTGTTGCTTGACTGCAAAATCCAAAGTCATCTTGAGTAGACCTCAATCATAAGAAAGAAGATGTAAATGTGAGCAAATCCCAGAAGGCAATTTGGTTGTGAAAATCTCCCCACTAATTAGATGTTATTCTAGCAACCTGGAAAGGTTTCTAGGGATTCTCTTGAGCAGAAACTTTGAGTGGACATGAGTATTTTGGAACCAGATTTCATGCTCTTAATGACATACATTTGCATTGCCTCTTATTCATAGTCATGCTGAAATGGAAGGCATAATTTTATCTTCTAAAAAAATGGATACTTATTCAGTTTTGCTCTTAGCCTACTGCACTCCCTGCCTTCAGGGTAGTAATGAAAATTCAAATAGGAAACTCAAGGGTAAGGACTATAAATAAGATTGCATTTGATACAATTTGCTTTTTAATGTACCATCCTCTCCTTATCTCAAGCTATTTTTGTAACATGCTATAATTATCACCCTTTCCTATGAAATTGGTCCCCATCTTCTGAAAGTGACTGTATTGTTCTTGTATGCTCCATAAAAGATAACATAGTCACCAGTCTTACCCATCCGTGGTGACTTCAGGAAGAATTCCCTGACCTGAGAATTTTTCATACATCTGGAGGTGCCCAGGCTGATGATGAAGCATGATGGAAAATTAAAATGGCAGATAATTGCAGCTGCCAGATGCTATCTTGAGGTTCTAAGTGGGACAAAAAGGGTGTGTGTCAAAAGACAGATGTCAAGTGATGGGTTTGGGGGCTTCAGCAGCTGCCAATGAGTTCTAGGTGGTGATGCTGTTGCAGATGAGGATATTTAGAAGTGCTGTCAGAAGGATCTTCAAAACCAACTTTTTCTCCAATCACAGCTGCTGAAACTGAATATGTTTTTAACAAATGGGATTGAAGACAAATGATTTTTGGAAACATAGACCGGACATTATTTTTGCAAAGCTTAGGACAGTGTGTATGTGTGCATGCACAGGCATGCACATGCATAAAGAGAAGTTGTAATAAGTACATTTGATTGGGGGAAATCTCTCTGACTCTTCAAACATTTTGATTTGTATAGCTGATTTAGTAAAATGCTAAGTTTGTAAACTTTGTATAACATAAACAAAAATGCTGAGTTGCTATTTAGGTCCTAAGAGGTTGAATGCCTGCTTGTTTTGTTTTGTTTTGTTTTGTTTTGTATTTTATTTTATTTATTTTATTTTTTGTTTGCATTCTTGTGGTGATTGGATCTCTGCGCTTTAAGAAGTGATCAGAAGCAGGGCCTTTTCTGTTTTGGCCCTCTGTCCCTAGGATTCTCTTCCTAGTTATGATCTTGTTTTCTTCTGAGCATCAAGTGAAAATTTATTCAAATCTTTTTTACAGTGTGATGCCAGTTCCATGGTTTATGCCAGCATCTAATTTTATTGCTCTACAATGTCTTATTTTTTTCCTGGGAATCATTTTTGTTTCTCAGACATCTCTGAAAACTTTTGTCACAGAGCAGATAATCATATTTACCTAAAAGAATGCCTTCTCCCTTTCAGTTGGGCTCCTGAAATTTTTATTATTATTAGCTTTGATATGCCATGATTCTGTCAAAAAGCATTCACATGTGGTCTTGCACAAGATGTAATCAATAAACTTCAGAACTAATCCCCTTGTGGCCTATTACTGATATATCATCCTGTATCACGTCCATTCACCCTGACACCCACTAATGCCTGTTTTCCAAATCACCTTGCAGTTCCCAGTCAAGGACCCACCAAGTTTACAGGATCAAACATATGATAGTGACCTCACTGGAGTGGAAGTGCTGTCCAGGATACAGTGGAGGAACATGCCAGCCAACAGGTATGGAAAATATTAAAATAAGAACAACAATGACGACAACCTTTTCTGATAATCAAAGTCAACTGGCTACCAACCTGCTGCAGAATGGAAAAAACATTTCTGTTAATTAGCAACTGAGGTCTTCTTGAGGAAGAGGGAAAGATTTTTGTTGTTGCTATTAGAGCATTTAGTCCTGCCTTAGGCACAAAGTCTGCTGGGTGGCCTTGGGCCAGTCACTATCACTCAGCCCTAGAGGAGGCAATGGCAAACCACTTCTGAAATATTGCCAAGAAAACTGCAGGAACTTGTCCAGGCAATTGTTAGGAGTCAAGACTGATTTGAAGGCACCAAAAACAAAACAAAACATTGGAAGCCAGAAACCTTTGCTGGCCTATCACAGTTCACCTGGAGATCTAGCTATTGATTGGAATCTATCTTCTCTCTGCCCATTATAGAGTGAAGTTAAGAAAAACTGCAACAGTTACGAGTGAGCCAAACTAGAGGTACCTTATCCATTCCAGGAAACAGGTCCAAAATAGTATCATCATTAGAGCATTATATTAAGCCTAGAAAACTCTAGATTCAGATCCCAGTTCAGCAGTGGCAGCCACTGGTACAATTTACCTAACAAAGTTGTGTGGATAGAAATATAGTGAGTACCACATGGGCTGTTTCTGAGCATCTTGGAGGAATGATGAAATATACATATAATAAAGTAAGGTGATTGCTATATAATTACTTCATTAGTCAGAGGTCAAGAATAGAATGAATTTATTAATAGAGCTAGTACCAAGAAGGTGAAAAGAAATAGCTTAAAGATGGAGACAGCTGGCAATCCATCATGGAACAAATTAAACAGTTGGGGCAAACCTCTTTGTCTGATACTTGCCTTTGGCGAAGACCCTCATGTGAAGAGCCAAGTTCTGGTTTCTGAAGCCACCAGGACAATGACTGTTGTACACAGTAACTGTAATTCCATTTCTGGAAGTTCTCTAGAAATCTTTCCTTATGTGAATTGCAACAATTCAAGAAACTAGATCAGCTAAGGTCAAAGGAAAGAAACCTCTGCCTCCTGTTTTGATTCATCCATTGAATTCTTTGATAAAATCTAGTAACAAATTTTATTGAGAAGAATTATATTGTGTGAGTTTGGCCAGCTCAGTACCTGGTAAAGAGATTTGGATAGGCAGCATGGCGTTGTTTGGCTTTTTTTTTTATTGGAATTAAGAGGAAAATGATATAACAGTCCCCAGTTCTCAAAATTCTTAGCAATGGAATGCTGGTGGGGAATTCTGGGAGTTGAAGTCCACT